AGAGGCCGCTGCGCTGCCGGCGCACTTTTGGCGGCCTCCACGCGTCGGCGACGAGGGCCGCCAGCTTCTCGAGCGCATCCTTGGAGTGAGAGGAGGCTATGAGCAGAGCGGGCCTCCGAGGCGACGGCGCCACTTCTCTCGAGAGTCGCTCCTTCCGGTTGGCGGCCTGCGTGCGGTGGCGGTCCGAGACGGCGAGGAGCTCTCCGCCGCGCGTCGCGCCGCCGAGCTGCAGCAGCCGCGCCTTGACCGCGTCCGGCCACGGGCTATGCGCCACACAGAGCCGCGCCTCGCACTTTGTGCTCAGCTTGTTGACCGCCTGCCCGCCGGCGCCAGAGGAGCGACTGTACGAGAGGGTTACGCACTCCAGCCCCTCGAGCGCACGAGCGGTGGGAGGCGAGCCAAGCACATGCGACGGCGTCCACAGCCGCCACGCGGCCGGAGCGTCTCCACCCTGCTGCACGCCTCGACAGCTGAGCGAGATCTTGCCGTCCGTGACGCTAGTCACGCGCACACGCACACGATCGCCGACGGCAAGGGCGTCTTCCGCCACCTCGACCCGGCCGCCCGACGGGTCAATATGCGACACGTGGAGGAGGCCGTCCCGGCCTGGCTGGCCCTCGAGGGAGCAGAACGCACCATAGGTCACGACCGACTCGACCACGCCGACGTGCAGGCTCCCGACGGCTGGCAGAGCAGGGTTTGAGGCGGCGAGCATCAGCAAATTTGCCGTGCGGCAAAATTGTGCTCGGGCTAGGGCCGGGACGCCGATCATCGGCAAGGCTTGTGCAGCTGCCGTGGGGCGGTGGCCAGAGAAAAGAAACGACCCGTGCGCGTCAAACGTGAATTTGTTTTTATGTTCTGAAAATTCAAAGGGAAGAACCCCGGGAGGGCCCTACCTCCCCCAGAGGTCCGGCCCAGCAAAAATAAATACACCTGGGCGCAACACTTTGCGGCGCATATTCCCGCTTGCCCGGTTTTCATGGGAGTCGAGCCCTTGCCCGGCGAGAGCGAGGCGGCGTACGTCGCGCGGCAGAACCGCGAGCGCGAGGAGGCTGCGGAGCGCATGCGTGCCAAGTTTGGCGGCAGCGGCGGCCTGAACGGCAAGCTCGGCGGCTGCGGGCCGAGCGGCTTCGGCTCGAGCGGGGGCTATGGCGGCGGCAGTGGCGGCGGCGCCAAGGAGTGGCTCTCCGGCCTCGGGTCGGCAGCCACGATGCTCGGCTCGTCCGCCGTCGCCGTGCTCGGCGCCGCCCATTGCGGCACGATCACGCCTGAAGAGCGGCACAGAGCTGAGTTCGTGCCGTCCTGCGTTAGGCTCCGCCGCCGAGGTGGCGTCCACCGGCGCCTCGGCCGCAGCGAGCGCCGG